CACACACACACACACACACACACACACACACACACACACACAGAACAGAGGGCTCCGTGGCTGTTGCGGAGGAGGTTCGGGGAGGCGTTGAGGGGGGCTGGCTGGTCGGTGGCATTTACATAGACTGTACTTGTTTGCGTGGATGCAAGGTTGAAGCAAGCTGTGATTCTGAGGTGGCCCACGAGCAAGGCCTCCAGAGACACTGATACTTTTGAGGTTGTGTTGTATTTCTTTTTGCGACGACGACACGTCAAGATGGCGGGCTGCCCTGTTTTTAAAGGCACTTCGACGTCCTACAGCCAGCTCTCGGCCACCCTCCGCGAGTTTGAGAACCTCCTGCCGTCCTGCGACGTGAGTCTGCCGCCTTGTTGTGCATGAGCTGCAGCACCGTACCCAGATTAAGGCTGCTTGTGCGGGTCGGGTAGGAGGAACGCAACACCGTGGATCAGTGCCGTGTGGGAAAAGCCAATGCCTCCTATGCAGCGCGTCTGGGCTGGATGATGGGCTTGGGCAGTGCCTCGTGCGTGGACGAGGCCAAGGCGTACGATGCCTGCTTGACCCGCCGAGTAAGTCTCGCTGGCCCCAAAGCCACTGTTCAAGTGCCGTTGTGAGCAGGGAGCGCGCCTGACCCCTGCCTGACCCTTTACCCACCTTTGGTGCAGAACAACGTATCAGAACACATTTTGAGCAAGTGTGGCAAGTCACACGTCACGATGGCGTCCAAATATGCCCAGTGTATGCATGAGCACGGCGATGACGAGGCCAAATGTGCACCCATCCTGACCGAGTTTTTGGACTGTGCTCGCAGCGCAGCTGCCTAACTGGCTTGGCGCCTTACTAGAGGGCTCTGCCCAGGGCTGGCTCCCCGCCCCATGTGTCTGTCGGTGCCTGGTGCCGTGCACCAACTGTGATGTCAATCGATGCGCGACGTGGCGGTGGCTTTGCTTCCAACTTGACATGTGCATCTAAACACTCTCTCTACACACACTCTCTCTACGCGCTCTCTCAGACTCTCTCTCTTCTTGACCTCTCTCTTGATCTCTCTCTCTTGACCTCTCTCTTTGAGAGAGAATGAATGAAGAGATCAAGGGGGAGGGAGTGGGGTAGGGTCAAGAGAGAGAGAGGTCAAGAGAGAGAGAGAGCTGACATGAATTGCATAAATTGAGACACAAAGGAAAAGCACAACTGAGAGTAAGCTCTCTCTCTTTCTTCCGCCTCTCTTATTTCGATCGATATCAAGTGTGTGTGTGTGTGTGAGAGAGAGAGAGAGAGTTTCTTGTGAGCTGATGGAGGGGATCCGAGTCCTTCTGGATGGATCCGATCTCTAGATCAGCGCCTCGGGGGGGGCGATCGGGGCCATCTCGACTGGGGATGGGGGTGGGGGTGTGCTTGATCGGCCTGCTCCTTGTCAGGAGCGCGTGGGCAAACGATGGCTGTGCTGTTCACCTGCTAGGCCCAGGCTGGCAGTCGTGTGTGTCCTGCCCGTCCAATTTTACCAGCAACCGCGTCGTGCTGGTTCCCCCCTTTTCTACATGCACCGTTCTTGACACGAGCCCAAGCTGTGCCCGGCGGTTGTGGTTTACTCACTATGAATGCGCCGAGGACGGCTCCTTTATCCTCAATCGCAACAAGGGCCGCCTCACCGACCCATACGTCAACGTCGGCTGCCGAGTTCACTTTTATGAACAAGAGCGGCCTGGCCTTGTTTGCGATGGCCACGACAGCAACACGACGTTGCTCTATGAGCTGCCTCTCGGCGGTGCGCCTAGCAATCTGAAGCGCCTCGTCGTACGGAATCATGCCCTACTGTACGCCGAGACAACCCACTTCAGCATGTTGCAGCTGTTGGAGGAGCTGGATCTGAGCAACAATGCCATCTCGCTCCTCTACGCCCAAGCTCTGCCCCAGCTGGTGAATCTTAAATATCTCAATCTCAGTCACAACCGTCTCACCAGCCTGGAACCACTGCAGCTGCCGTTTCAAAACTCACTTCAAACGCTAGATGTTCAAGGAAATGAAGCATTGACCCTGCGTTCCGATCTGCTCATCTCCTCCATGGCCCCCGATTGTACCACAATACTCCTGCCGGAAACCTGCCTCGACTCCGCCCCCTCGAGCTGCACCGCCTTCCTGCCAGCTAGTACTCCTCCCATCAATTCCACCTCTTGCACCATTGTTGACAACACCACTGCCTGGACCTGCCCCGATGGCAGCACCTCCATCACCAATTGGCAATACTGTGATGGCATTCCTGACTGTGCCGATGGTTGGGATGAGGAAAACTGCTGCCAGCTCGCCGCCACAGAAGATACCGACTACCAGACTTGCAGCGAGGGCCACTTGCAAGTCACAATCCATCAAAACCACGCTCAAATCATGCCGCCCAACCCAGCTTCCGTCAACCCTTTTTGCTTCTCAGTTCTGAGCATTCGTTACATTACAGCAGCCTGGCAGTCCATGCAGAAAGGCTTGGATGGAGCCCCGGAATGGAGCTTTGCGCTGACCTTTTCCTCAAGCTTCAATTCGACGGCCACCTTGACGCGGAATCTGGCTCAAGTTGCAGTCGAAGATTCACGAGGCTACCTTGAACTCAACCTGCCCTTGACAGCTGAAAGCACGATGCCCTGCCTGGCAACATCGACAACGCCAAATCCCAAAATGCCAGTTGGCAGCACCAACAATCAGTCTATGCCTCGGAGCACCCAAATTGGCATTGCAGTTGGCGTCGCGTGTGTTGTTTTACTTGCTGGCGCCGTTGTTCTTGGTGCCATTAGGCGCCAACAACGGAGGCGACGATGGTCGCAAGCAGAACATGCGCAAACAATCGCCATGTCCTCTAGTAGCCAACTTGCACTCTGCCTCCAGCAACTCCGACAGCAGCACCCTAACCCCAGTACGACCGATGGCAACATGCCCGAGCTGCTGATGCTGCCCAGGTGGGTGCAATCACCCAAAACCGTTCCTTTGCTCTTTGTCTTTGCCTACCTGGCACAGACTGCTCTCAAGTCCCAAACCATTGCTTCATCGCGCTTGTTCTCATGGACGGCGATACGCATAGCCATGCATTGGAAAAAAACAGTCTTATTGGCAAAGGGCACTTTGGTGCCGTTTACAAGGTCCGAGCTTTGTCTTGCTTGCTCACGTCCAGCAAGCTTTGAGGTACTGGGCACACTGACCTGAATTGTGCCTCCTGTCATGTCGTCAATGATAGGCAACCGTCATTCAGCAATCTGAAAAGATTGCGCACACCCTGGTAGCCCTCAAGACCTTTGATGAAGTTGAGGTCAGGCATTGGGGTCCTGGGGGGTCATCGCCAGCACCTACAAATGCTACCGCTCACGCCGTTGCTGTTGTGGGCGTCTGTAGCTGACCGACTACAAGGCAGTCATGTTTGAAGCTGCTCTCATGCACATTGTGGGCCGCCATCCACACGTCATTCAGCTTATCGGCATCATAGATGACAGGTCTGAACACTGCACAAACTTGGCGCTTGCATGGTCTTTCTTTGCTGGGTTATGCAATCAAAAGAAGGCTGCGGGATCTTGTGCTTCTGACTGCTCTCCTGGGGCTGTTCTTTTGTCCTTTCCCAATCTCTACCTCTTCCTCTAGCCTTCCAATCGCTTTGGTCTTGGAATGGGCAGATCAGGGCGATTTGCGGTCCTTGCTGAGGGCACGGGGCCATCAGTGGACCAGCTCAGATATGGTAGGTAGTAAGCTGTTGCCACAAGGATTAGGGCGAGTCCGTGGTCGTGTTGCCGCTCCGCTGGCTGTGAGGCAGGCATCTGACCGCACTCACCGACTCGGCTTAGATCATGATCGTAGCCCAGGTGGCGAAGGGACTCGATCACGTGCATGGCCTACACCTGGTCCATCGTGATCTCGCTGCCCGGAACATACTCATTTTCAGTTCTACCAATCCGACCATGGGCCCAACAGCTAAGCTGGGTGATTTTGGATGTAGGTACAGCAAAGTCAGATCCCACCACCTTCACAGCTGGCATTCATATTTCAAGCAGTCCATCTTTGGTCTCTATGCTGATCCACCGACTCAAAGGCTTGACTGCTGCCTGCTTTACGTGTGCGTAGTGGGTCGATATCTGACCGGGGATCATGAATACTACAAAGTCAGCCAGCTCGACGAGCTGCCTTTCCGGTCTGTCTCAGCGTTCTGGGTGCGGCACGCAACATTGAGCCAAGCAAGCTAACTTCTCGCCGTAACTGCAGATGGATGGCACCCGAGACCATGCTGGCACGACGATTTACTACCCAGTCCGATATCTGGTCACTTGGCGTCGTGTGCTGGGAGGTCAGTGTATCACGGGCCGTCCGCCGCCAGATTTGTACCCCACACAGTATCGCCCGGTCCCTGATGGCTAGATTCACCCATACATGCTAGATTTGGAACGAGGGCCGGACACCGCACGGCGATTTCACGCTTCCGATGCTGGTTGAATCTATGCAGCACGGGCATCGCTTGGACCTCAGTCGCTGCCCTGCAATCATACAAGAGTCAGTCTAATCGTATATGCCTGCTCTCGTCCACGGTTCCCGCGCCAAGCTCACCAAGCCGGTCATTTCCCACCCGAACCTTGCAGATGGGCCACGCGCATGTGGACCGCAGATCCAGCTGCACGCCCTGCAGCCAACGATGTAGCCCTCGCTTTGGGATACGCAAAAGCGTACAGATCCAACTCGAGCTCGCAGCCAAGGCAGCTCAGATTCACTTCGACCAGTCGTGCTTGGACGACTGGTCAAGGCTCGGGCACTGACACCGAAGCATGGGATGCAAGCACTGACATCTCGCGACTGTAAACAAAACTTTTGAGTTCACTGATAATTGGCCCCGTCATTTTCTCGGTACCTTCCAGCTGCTTGAGAATAATCATGATTTCTTTGAGAATGTATGAGTGACCGTTTTGACTCTGAATTCACTTGCCAACACACATGGTGATCAGGTGCGGAGCGATGCTTAATGGCGTTTGTAACGCTTCTTGGACTTGAATGCCTTGTTACCCTTGCCCGGAACAACCTTCTTCTTTGACTCACGCTCCTTGAGAGCCGCCTATTTGACGGAAACCCCAAGATCACACAGACATGTAAGAGAAGTATCGAGGCAGATGAGGAAGGAACTGCGGAAGCTAGAGCCCAGCTTACCTTCTTGGACGATAGCTTCTGCTTGAGACCGGTGGCCGTGGTGGCGCCATCGCTCGTTTTCGCTGCAGCCAAGCAAGAAGAGGCAAACAGTCGAGTGCATGAGCAAGCGACCCAAAAGCAAAAGAAAAGCGCTGTACCGGCCGCGACATACCCTTTTTGCCCGCAGTCTTAATCTCAGCATCGAAACCAGCCATGGCCCGTCGCTTGGAGGCTGCCGCAGCTCGCTTGGTCGTGTCTAGATCGCAACAAAAGTAAGTCGGATCGTGTGTACGCCACATCCTGCCCAGGCAATCTCAACCTACCTTCTTTGAACATGTGAATACGCTTGGGTTTCTTGGCGCGTTTGACATTGCGAATCAGGAACTTTTGGTGGGCTAAGGAAAAAAAATATTGCCAGGCATACCGTCAATCAGAATGTACACCACCGCGCATACAATAGCAGGAACTCGTGCTTTTCCGCAGTCTCTCAAACAAAAGTAACCCATCCCATCTAGAACCACGTGCGGGGCTAGAAAAACAGACGTACCCATTTCCGGCGTAATTTTGGCCTTCTTGGCTTCGCGCTCCTTCTATCAAATCCCGGCCCAAATCATGGAGCAGCATGGTTACGCGAGGGCAGCCAAGAAGCAGTAGCCTGCGATGCCAGCGCAATCGCACCTCTTCCATCTTGGCCAAAGCAGCCTGCTTGCGCAAGCGATCACTGCTGAGCCCATCCTTGCCCTCGTGCGCCGCCTTGCTTGCTGCGGCCTCGGTAGCCTTGTCCTTCTCAGACTGAATCCATGTGCGCGCGGCGCGCGCCTTGATTTCGTCTTCGTGCAAAATCAAGTTTTCCGCTCGTCGAACTTCCCGTTCTGCTTCTTGCAACTACACCCAAAGTTATCAATCAGTTGTAACAAAGGAACCGAGACTGTCTGCCGCCTGCCCCGTCTCTGTGCAGATGGCGCTTTGGTAGCTCAACCCCGCTGCCTGATTCTGAAGCAGATGCAAGCCACAGACCTGGGCCATTTCCTCCTCCTCACGCAAAATTTGGCGAATATCATCGGCCAAACTGTCAATGTAGCGCTTAAACTGCATGGTTACGTCCGTCTTGATGACGCGGTTGCGCATCGTGCTTGAGTTCTATAAGTCCCAGCGAAAGATTCTGAGTATTGAGTTGCACGCATCGTTCGACCTTGAAATAGCACCCAAGCGCTGCACAGGAGCAAGTCAAACACGGTAGCAGCCTAGACTGCACTCACGTCTCGGTAGAGCTCGCGAAGCAGCTTGCGCTCAGACTCGCCCACCAGCGTGCAAGCCCTATTGATAAGCCAACGTCAGGAGAAGCTCGAGGGACCAAAGAGCCCACAGCCCAAATGCCTCGGGGTAACAACACTGACCGGCCTGTGGCGCCACCACGAGCCGTACGGCCGACGCGATGGATGTACTGCTTGATGGTGTTGGGCATGCTGACGTTGATGACCTATCAGGCATATCCCACCATCATAAGAAAAACAGCAGAGTGTGCAATTCAATCACAATCCCGCACCCCCGTCCGCAGTAACCCGTAGCGGTCAAATGTGCATGGGCCATTGTGAAACGATCGGACGTACAGACTTGACGCCGGGAATGTCGAGACCACGACCAGCAAGATCTGAGCATATTAAAAATTCAAGCTCGCCATTCTTGAACTGTTCCAGGGCGTTAAGACGCTGCGCTTGGGTGAGCGAGCCATGCAACTCGCCGGCCCGCAAATCAGCAAGACCAAAGATGATACGCAAGCGATGGGCGTGCTTCTTGCTACGCACAAAGACCTGAGTGCAACACAATGTACAAAAAGCAAAAGACACGGTGAGGACTGTCAACCTAGACCCACGCATATCATAAAATGAAACAAGATGCTGCTGGCAGCTTGGTGGGGACAGATGAAGCTCAAGGCTCATACCAAGCAGCGTGACTTGTAGGTGCGTTTGCATAGGGAAAGAACAATGGCCTCGCGTTGATCCTCGTGCTGTGGACGGATACGAATAAACTCTTGAACCAAATTGTTGGTGACTTTCTTGTTGGCGTCCACAAACAGACGGATCGGCTGGTTGAGCGACAAGGTAATCAGGTCCTCGACTTCGTCTGTGGTTCCGCGGGTCAAACAAAAGTTGTGAAAAGGGTCAGAAGAACGGACAAGATTCAAGAAAAGACAAAGGGGGTAAGACTTGTGTCGAGCAGGGTTAGGATGATGCTAACCAGTCATGGTAGCAGAGAACAACATGGTTTGGCGCTGAGCTGCGCAAGATTTGATGATCATCTTGAGCTGTTCGGTAAATCCAACCTAGCAGCGGTTCAGCAGACCAGAGCGTGTTAATACCGAGAAGAAGACTCGACAAATGATAGGCCAATCCTGTGCCTACCTCGAGCAAGCGATCAGCCTCATCCAAAATGAGAACTTCAATGGTGCTGAGATCAAAACTATGGTGGTATGCGGTCAAGCGAGGCGGTAAGAAGTAGACTCTCTGAGAGGCGCAACCTGCCGATACACCAACACGCTTTCCATGCCACAATTTCAGCGGAAGACAAACCTATGCGTGTTTTGAATGTGATCCACCAGGCGACCAGGGGTAGCCACAATGACATCGGGGCGTGCCCGAAGCTCAGCTTCCTGAACCTTGAGGGACATGCCTGGGCCATTTCCGAGTCATTCATCGCGTCTGTGAGGCACAACACGCAGGTCTCCCGCCGATCGGCCTTTGTCAAGCAACGTGGTGCCTGCGGTGCTTACCACCGACGGCCATGCCAAATGTGATGTCGGTAAAGCGGGCCAAGCCACGAGCAGCCTGGCACACCTGTACGGCCAACTCGCGCGTCGGGCTCAGGACAAGCACGCGTGTTTGAGCAATTTGTTTGGGGCTAAAGGATTTGACCAAGCAGGGCAGAGAATATGAGAATGAAATGAATGCAACAACAACCAGTTTGTTCGCAGCCGCCATATTGGGGTGGGTTGCACACATACCGAAAGAGAAGACGCTCAAGAACGGGTAACATGAAGGCGGCTGTTTTGCCAGAGCCGGTAGCAGCACAGGCGCAAATGTCGCGACCTGCCAACGCCACGGGGATGGTGGTCGACTGAACCAACGTTGGCTCGGCAAACCCCATGTTGGCAATGCCCTAGGCACCCCAATTGCATCGCAAAAATTCATGACCGTGGTTCACATAAGAATTGGCCTGTGGATTGCAGCTTGAAGTTCATTGCCAAATGCCTGGCAGCGTATAACATGCTGAAGGATTTGGCTCTGCAAACGCACCTTCAAGAGCACACGGCTCAGCTGTAGGTCTTGAAAGGTCTTGGCATTGCTTGACTCGCGGTCAATCTAAATCGGCGATTCCAGCCCAACAACGAGATCCGACACTGGTATGAGGGGCTCTGCAACACACCAAGCAGCAGCTTGTCTGGCATCTGGAAGGTCTGTTAAGCATTGGAAAAAAACCCCGAAAGAGGAATCGTCAAGCAAACTGACCTCGGGCGTTTCAGCAAAAAACTCTTGCTTGAGACGCTCAGCCTGCGGAATGACGATGGTGGCAAACGATGATAAGCTATCACATTCACGGAATGAGTAATGAAAGGCAGCCGAGTCGTTGGGCATCCACCTCTTCGTCATCTGAAGCATTGTCAAGGTTATCATCGTCGTCAGCATTGTCCTCCACTTCGCTGTCGCCCTCCAAATCATCGAGAGCAACGGAATCGTCTGCCTCTCCCGTGCTCTCCGCTGCTGCTCGCTGAACCAAGGGACAAGCCATATGTCAAAGCAGGCCCACAAAAGAGGGAACAAAAAAAAAAATCTCTTGAACGATTCAATGCATCGTTTTTCTCAGCAGAGTGCCAAAGGCTAGACTTGAGGGAAAACTGACCTTTGCTTGGCGCTTGGCCACGAGCTGAGCAATGCGGTCGTCTGTCGCTTTGGTATCCGCCACCTAGGAGAACCAATGACAACACATCCTCTGAGCTCAAAAGCAAGTGACGGCTGCATGGTTGCCCAACGGCTGGCCCAAGCCCCAAAGAGCAGAGCAGGAACAGACCTGCGTCTGCAGCTGATAGCTCGGGTCCCAGCCTTCGTCGACGGCCTCGCTAAAGTCAAATTCCGGGTTGACGTCCTTGTTTTGCCGGCGGCCGTTCACCACCTGGTCACACACCAAAAAAAAAAAAAAAAAGAAAAGAAAGAAAGAAGAAGAAGAAGCAGCAGAAGAGGAACAAGGCGCGTCAATGCGTGTGCCTCACAAGTAACAGACCAAGGCACGACCCAAGCCCAGCCGGCTGGCCGCACCTCTTCGTCATCGCTATGGTTTGCGACAGGATCGTCGTCCTCAATGGTCATCACAAAGCGGGACGAGGCCATGCTTGCGGTGAAATGAACGCACGCGTGCGCTTTCTTTAAACCCCGACAACAAGACTTCAAGGCCCCCAAACCACGCCCAAACCAATTCCCCCACTCGTCTGTTCCCGCAGCCGGAAGGTGAATCAAATGAAGAGACACACCCGCGCCCCGAAAGACACACGAAGAGAGAGACACAGACAGAGACAGAGACGAGAGCGTGTCTGTGCGCGGAAAGGAGAAGCTGACACACACACACACAAACACACACACACACACACACAACGCGCTGCACGTGGTGTCATCCTTTCTTCCAGGTGACTCGTTTTGTCTGACAATTTCTCCCTCGCACCTCTTCACCTACACACACACACACACACACGAACTAATGGCAGGAGAGTGCACAACAAAGATCTGGCTCTGACGTGTATCTGGATGAATTAAGATGAGAGCGTCTTGGCTGCCATGCAAGAAAAACACAGGAGAAAAGCACACTGCAGGGCGCCCAAGGACAACGGGTCAAGCAAGATGGCGACACAAACTACAACCAACACAAGCAGGGAGCAGAGGTTCCCTCGATCCATCCCTCCCTCGACACTTGATAAACAATAATTGGCCGGCTCTCACACCCAAAAAAAGCCGCTTGCCGGCGCATTCACATTCACATTCGGACATTGCACAACAGTCGACGGGCCTTCGAACACCATCCTTACGGGTCCGTCAGTACGTTGAGGTGCCCGCTCAGTCTTCTTCACTTGCATAAGCAGACCCTGCCTCAGCATTCGGGGCAGTCTCTGCGTCAGTCTCGTGAACAGAAATGTAACCACGGCTCTGATCTGCAGCCGCGGCAGAAATGGCACTTGTAACAGAGACCAGCCGATACCCGGGTGGCGCATCTGTTTGGTCCTGCCAAAGCCCCCCAAAAACAACAAACGTCGATAAGCCAGGGCACAAAATGATGAAATGAAGAAACCAACACACACACACAACACACACACACACACACACACACAAATGAAGGTGCAAGGGCAGCGTTGACCATCCGTACCTCCGTTTCATCTCGTTGCTCATCCGAAATATCCTCTTCGCGCTTGGCAACTTGAATTTGAAGAAGGGAGTGAAAGGGCGCCCGGCAAATTGGACACTTGGAGGCCTGATGATGCACGGTGGTAAGTGCGGCACGATGATGAGGATACAGCAGTCACAGCTGAGAACCAGGCCCAAGGCACCAATTTACATTCAACAACACGCCGCTGGGCGATGCGTCAAAAATACATCACCCGGTACTCTTGCCCACCTGATAGCGCAGCGCCTCAGCGCAGTCGTGGCAGAGGCAGAGGTGGCGACACGGCAGCACCATGGTATCCATGGAAGTGGACATGCAAATCTAAGCAAGCCACAGTCGTTGTCCCGCAAACAACCTTGATCAGGGCACACCAGGCTAGTCTGCAGGCAACAAGGCAAAGCAATGCTTCTTGTCTTTTCTTTTCCACCTTTTTCTTTTCTTGTCTAGCGCTTTATGAAGCGAGTACCCACCACGCAATCAATGCTTTCGTCATCGTCGTCATCGTCATTGTCTCCATTGTTGTCTTCACCCTCCTCCTGTACCTTGCGCTCTAGACCATAGATTTCGCGCAGCAAAAAAGATCGCCCATCCACCTGCATCGAACCCAAGACAAGAACATCCATCAGAAACGCTAGCTCAGCGATCCGGACAAGCCCCCCAAGAAATGACGCTCTGGCACGGAACGATGAAAAGTGAAAAGATGTTTGCAACTCCTCAAGGGAATGGCGCAAACGCACATTGATTTTTTGTGCCGCGATTTTGAGAGCAATGTTGTTGTCCGACTGTGGCGTGGCACATGTTAGCAGGCACGCATGAGGGCAACACTCAAGAAGATGACACAGCAACGTTTGAGCGAGTCTTTCATTGTGGTCATCGACCAAGACGCCCCTCACCTTCTCAAAATAGCAATAAGTGATCTGAGAGTGGTTGGTTCCATCAAGGTTGTCTGTGCCCACAATCAAGCCAGCAAGCGGGGACGTGAATGGTCAGGCTGAGCATCACCGTGGCTTTCATCAAGCGAGGCTTGTGGAGGAGTAAGAAAAAATGTGGCTGCGATGATTCCACAGGCAAGTATGTACGAACCGGGATCACGAATGGGTGGCGAGTTGGCCTCTTCATGACGGCGAATTTCGATGGCCAAGGGAAAGCGCAGGGTATCTGTGGTTGAGACTGGATCGAGCTCAGCCTGACTCATCTTTTCAAAGCCCTCCAGCACATAATCGCTCAAGTTGAATGTCTACAAATCAACAGATAAATCGGGATGTGGCCAGAAAGCAAGGCCTGATTGAGCCGGTTTGCCTGCGCGCGTCAACGAGCATCTGGCAGCACGCCCGACCTGGTTGAAGCCGGCCGTAAAGTCAACGGGTCGGAACTGCGAGTACTGGCGATAATTTTGCAACCTAGTCGAGTTGCGCGTGGCGAGTAATTGGGAGGAGGAAAGGAGGTTGTGAGCTGCGTGCTGGCAAGCTGTGCGTTTTAGCGGTTACGGCATCTCTGTGACTTGTTGTGACTCACTTGAGGTTGCCGTGTTTATCAAAGGCCTCCTCCACAAACGTGTGAATGACCACGGTGCACGCGCAGTCGGCGTCAAAGGTAAAGCTGAGGTGATATGCATCGACGGGCGAATCGTTGCGTGCGTGCCTTGAAGCAGTCGATGGTGAAGGGGTGAGGTCGCAGTTTGAAAATTGACGAGGCGAGGGGGTTCAGAAAGCCGATAGGCAGCGCTTTGAGCCTACCGAATGAGGCGAAGCGAGTTCTTGTGCACGTTCACCAGACACCGCACGGTGTTGGTGTGGCGCACGGTGTTTGGCACGCGAGGTACCTGCAAGCGTTGGAATGGGACCAAGCCGAGAGGTGAATTCAAGCTACTTGTGGCCGAGGCATCGGCGCACGTCGTGTGCACGATAGTAAAGACCTACCGAGCCAGGCACACGAGAGAGCCAAGAGAGCTCGGAAATGTCCCCAAAGAGAAACGCCTCTGGACTCATGCTCTGAAAGCTTTCGCCGCCCATTGTAAACTGGTTGCCAAAGTACATGCCTAATGACGCCAGACCAGCCGAGGACAATGAAGGATACGCCGCTTGTGGAAGAAGCAGAGATATATGAGGCAGGCAAGGCTACAGTACCCGCCACACACCATGATTGCCGGTTGCGTTATTCCCATTGGTGCGGTTGTCCGCATTTGAGCTAAAGTAGCCGCCCATTGCGACGCGCGGGGCCCCCGGAGTCCCCCGTGCCTCGTCCGCTGTCGAGCTAAACCAACACCAAAAGCTGCCAACCAACGCCCTCAGAGGAGAGCTTGACTCCTCAACTACCCTTTAACTGCACAGAACCCCCGTGCCCTATTCCCAAGCCCAACAAAGACCCACAAACAGAGGCCGAGGCCAAGCAGACGCCAGCTGAGCAGCAGACAGACCAGCAAGCGCTCCGACCAACACAGACAGAGAGAGAGAGCGACACAGCGAAAGAGAGCGCGGAGAGAGAGAGAACTGGAACACACACACTTTTGAACAGGTAACGCAACATAAACTCTCTCTCTCTCTCTCAAACTGACCAAACCTCTCTCTCTCTCCCTCTCTCTCTCTCTCTCTCTCTCTCTCTCTCTCTCTCTCTGTCTTTGCTTCTGTCTCCCAAGGAGAAGGCAAGATCTTGTTTATGGCCAGGAGTGTACAGTTGGTAACGGGATCGGCGCCAAAAACCCCCCTCCTCACCACGACTAGCCGTTACACTTTGAATCCCGAACTCTCTCGCTGACTCGCTGACTCGCTGACTCGCTGACTCGCTGACTCGCTGACTCGCTGACTCGCTGACTCGCTGGTGGCGTTCAGGAGCCGGTACTTGTCCTTCACCCCTCGCTCAAGGACGAGGGTTTTAGCGAGAGCAACAGAAAATTGGGATTTAGAGAGCCAGATAACGCAAGCATGGAGATTTCGTATGAACTAGCACCCCCCTCACCACCTGCGCCCAACCGACCAGCGCGGGCTGCCGAGATGGAAGGCGACACCCTCGAGGTCAATGATACCTTGCCCATGGACGAGGAAAGCCTGCAACAAGGTTTCCAGGAATCACAGGAGCCCCCTCTCGGCGCGACATCAGACAAAGCCCCGCACGCTGCAAACTCTAACATGGACGATGCCGATACAAATGTCGATGAGGACACCGCCCAGCAGACGACAGAGGAAGCGTTGCAACTGTCAGACCTCGAAGAGCCAAATGTAGAGGATTATGAGGAGGAAGCTGAACAGCTGGAGAATGAGCCTGTAGAAGCCTATCAGGCTGCGCTTCCCCTCGCCCGCATCAAGCGCATCTGCAAGGCTGACCCAGATGTAACCAACATCAGCGCCGAGGCCACCCACCTCTTAGCCTTTGCCACCGTGCGTTCCCATGGCTCTCTTCGACATCATGGTGGTGGCAATGTGTTGCGACCTCCATGATAAGCGCGCGCTTTCGTTTTTAATCCCGCAAAAGAACTCATTCATCCTAATACCTGCCTCGCTGTGTGACAGCAATTGTTTATTGACTATACCACGCAATTGGCTGCCAACCGGACGCTCCGTGTCCAACGCAAAACGCTTGCCCTTCAGGACCTCTGTAGGTATAGTCGCATTGTGATGAAAGAACAAAGATGAGAGACAGCTTGCAGACATGCCGCTACCCCCTGCGCCTTGGCTTGATACTCACACCTGCTTGGGGATGGGGGGGTACTCTGGACCACCCTATGCACATGGTCATTTCAGTTGCTTGCTTTGATCAGAACGAGTGTTACGAGTTTCTCGAAGATATACCTCTCGTGCCCACGGACACAGCTGAAGCTGCCTTGGAGAAACGTGAACGAGAAAACCAGCGTCTCACGGCCGGGGCTCGCCGCACCCGACGAGCCCCCACCGGCCGCACAGACGCCCCCCGTGGCGCCCGCCAAACCAACCTCATGAACTTTACACACCGAAGATCAAGCCCGCCCGCCGCATCGACTGATAAAACATCCCACACACCCACCGACACGCTTTCCACGCACGCTACCAATGCTACCGACCGCCTGCCTGATCAGCCCGAGACGCTCCCAGCCCAGCCTGAGACAGTGGTAGCAGATATCGAAGAGGCTTCGGGATCCATGACGGGTGGCAACGAGAGAGACCCTAGCACGTCACATGAACCAGCGACGAGCGACGACCCGGGCACAAATCCCCAGGAGGATGCTGAGATGAACACCACGCCAGTTGCTGGTGAGATGGAGACGGACCTCGATGCTGCAGGGGAAGATGATGGCGATGATGACGACGATTTGGCGCAGGCCATGTTCGCAGAAGCCTTGGAAAGTTAGGCTTTCCTCATTCGACTGCAAGCACTCTTTGCCTGCGCCATCTGAACCCTGCACATTGCTGCGCTGTAGAGAGCAAGGACCGAAATTCAGAATTCAAGAAAGATGTTTTCTTTGCTCAAAGAGCCACGCTCACGATCGATTGCACACTCTTCATCATCATCTAGCCTAGCCTCAATCACTATCTTGCCACCAATCTTGCACTACCCAGTGCCCTGAAACAAGTGGCACGGAGCCGTTTGCCAAGTTGGCTCATGCCGACAATTGCTCGAAAAAAAGCCACAACAATAACACACGCCATGCGCCCCCAATGGGTCGTTGCATTCAGCGCAGGACCAAGCCTTGCACTTGTGTCAGGATGGTAGATGACAACCCAAGTCTGTCACCAAACACATATCGCCATTGATGCTGACCCGTGGGATCTGAACCTTAAACACCACAAGACACCACTCCCAGAACGATGTAAACTCTACCCACCAGCCACAAACCGCGCACATCCATCAGTCGACCATGGGCATTCGACATGAGCACATCAAGGGATCACACAAATGGCATGGATATAAATGAGCAGAACTGAGTCACAAAAACCTACCGGACCATCGTGGAGCATGGGAAGGATCAAAATGTGGCCAGATGACCCCCTTGACATCAACGTTTCCAGGCAGATGTCGAGCCGTCAGACCCAGTCGTGCTGGTGCCACGACGTAAAGATTGGTCTCACGGATGGACGTCTGTGCACATGACACGGCCGTTTGGCGTGTGATGTTGCTGATAAACGCCTTTGCATCATCTGCTGTCGTGGTGTACTTGAGATCATACACCTATGCATCAGAACGAGCCCATGAGCAAAAGGGTGGCGTTGACAAACCGTGAGGCATCCCAAAACTCCAAGCCAGACGCTACTTACTCGAAAGGCATGCGCACAGGAGGCGTCGTCGGCCCACTCGGGCAGAAGATATGGTCGTGCTGACGGCACATTAATGTACACGGCAATCGACTGGTAGAATGATTGCCATTGCCCATGAGGCACCAATGCAAGCATGAACAATCCCAAATCTGGCTCAGCGCATAGGTGCGCCATCGGAGCAACGCAAATCGTTACCTGGATATCGCCGCGATAACGATCATGCTGAAGCTCCGAGTAGACATATTTGAGAGCGGGCGTCACACCACTCTAAATACCCCAGCAGCAACAAGTAAGATGCAACCATGAAACGGAGATCAGATGAGGCAGGCCTCTCTCAAGATCAAGTCGTGTCCGGAAACAAGCCCATCAGCAAGCACAAGCTCACTCTCAAAGATCAGGCGAGGCGCAATACATACCTGAAGCAGTGTTCCATAGTAGCACACAAGACACAAGTTCAGGGCAATCCAGGCCAAGGGAGACGAGTTGACGGCAATACGACCAAAAGTGCGCGTGCCAAAGACGATTGCCACTGGAACTATCAAGCCAGACAGGTCCCTGTTGGTCACGCCGACGTCCCCGCGAGCACGTGTGGCACACAGCATGGTCAGACCCGCGCAAAGCTACGCCGATACAACGATGGGTACGCACCATATGGCAATGTCATGGCCCGAGAGGACTAGACAGGCAAAGCCCAGGGCCCAAGATATGGACATGTACTTGACAAAGCTGACCAAGGGTGAGTTGCTACCTAATTTGGGCCGATGTCCACGCCACACCACCTGAACTCTCATGGAAGAAGGAGAGTGATGGGCGGACAGCCGTAAAAAAAGTGTCAGAATCGTGTTCATGAGCGAGGTCAACAGTACGATGGAGCAGCTGTCCTCCAAGACTCGAGAGCTGTAAACACTGACCTCGTTCACCTCAAGCGCAAACTGAGAACGGGGATTGGCGAGGGCGCTGGCGCTGACATCCAACAGCCACCACACAAAAACGCCCAGAAAAACCGTGGCTAAAAGGATGGCATGTAATCCGCCAATTTGCTAATCCCGAGAACGGATGTTGATCAGGTGAAGACAATGTGTGCACCCACCCCTAAAGCCACAGCAGTCAGGCAAGAACATACATTTGGTGCCGTGGCTTGGAAGAACATGCGTTGGCGCCGCAATCCAAAAAGGGGTGGCACAATGATGCGCTTTGGCCATCGGCCCTAGGTGATGGACACAATGGGGAGAACAGAGAACAAAAGGCATAAATCGATCAAGTGGTGCGATCAACAAGACGTGCTTTACCCATCCGAAAAGTCAAGGCGCCAGGCACAACCACTCAAGTTGAGGGTTGCCATTGCAGCAAGACCCAACCTGTGAAAGCTCGGTCCAGTTGGAGAGCACGGTATCAAAAAAGGTCAAACAGGCTCCAGACAGCAGTACCGTGGTCAAAACCTCGATGAGGAGATCGCGGCGCACATGCTTCCCATGCACGCGCAAGCTGCCAGACAGAAAGAAGACACCTAGCATGAGAAGAAGCAGAAGCAGAAGCAGAAGCAGAAGAGGTGCACGCGTGCAAGCGCTTCTAATTTCAAGGAAACAGATATTCTCTGTCGAAGCTAGATTTGTCACACACCTGCGAAGTTGGAATAAATGTCGAATGACCAGAATGATGGCCGGAAGCTACGGTACGGGCGCAAGACGGAGCGAAAGCCACCAGCTGGCGTCATGAGTCCAAGCCCCTGCTATGAACTTGGTGGCCCAAGGGTACAGGTCATGAAATCTTACGGCGATGAGTGCAGTCAGCACGTTGTTGAAGAGAAGGCCTGTCCAAATTAAGCTCATCCAGTTCAGCCAAGCTGTGATGCGTCGCCACTCGCGCCAACACGTCTCGCGTAGCGCTGCACTCCGAGCGCTCAAGACAAGTAGGCGCTGGTCGGACTGCAGCGCACAAGCGTCGCCACTTGATTTGCCATCTGACGATAACGATGACGATGATCCCAACTGCTGAGTGCCGTGGACCGGGGTTCTTACAGCACAGCTGAGCTCTTGGCGACGCTGATGTTCGAGACCCGCCATGTGTGACAGCCTTTGAAGGGATGTGGGAAAGGCAACACAACCACGAAGTATTGTTGCAAGTGCCCACATGAGAAGGCTGATCAATGTCATGTCCACCGAGCCCTGCAAGGGTCTAGCAAACAGCGCGCCCATCCAGCCGATGAGTTGACAGTACATTGAGCTTGCCTTTGCCAAAAGAGAGCAAGTTGTCCAGCAGACGACAGGGCCATTGTGCGCCTACCGGGTGTGAAACACAATCATTGCGACAGAAGAACCCAGCATGGCCAGGGTAGCATAGTGGTCCAGGCCAAGATGCAGGCAGGTACGTCGGATGGCATAGTCTAAAAGGCATCAAGGACAGATCGAAGCAGAAGCGTGAGGCACACTCGAACTTTGCTGTCGGCAAATGAGCGAGAGAAAAAGAGGACCGACCCGTCACAAAAGTCAAGATGAGCATAAAGACGCGGGTACTGCAGAGAAGGAGCTCGGGCTTGAGGGCAATATCTAATGGCCAATGCGAGATGAGTCACGGGATTGGATTGGTCAAGCTGTTTCGTTGATCACGAGCTCTGCCACTACCTGGTCCAAATAGGCAGCTCATGATGAATTTGGGTAGGCCGATGGTCAGCAAGGGCCAGACGCTGCTTCGCACACGATCGTTGGCCGTCAAAAGCGAGAAGAGATCGCCTGCACAACATGACACATAGGTCAGCGCGACCTGAGAGCAAAGTGATTATCTTCCAGACGATGACCACCCAGCTTGCTGGGCGCCGATACCAACCTTGAAGTTGACGCACGCCATCGCCCTCGTCTGGATGGAGATAGCTGGTGTTGACGGAGAGCGTGAGCCAGGCTCGAAGAGCTATGCTCAGAAAGTAGATGCGATGGCTGAAAGCCAGCACTTGCTCGCGCTTGGGTTTATCTGGCTCGGCGCGAGACCGGCTTGACCGACGTGATGTCTCCGTCTCCATCTCGACCCCGCGAACGTCGAGCACGATGGCCGCTCTAACGGGCTAAAACTGGGGGTCGGGGCGAAGGCAATGATTTGCGAGGGGGGTCTCGCCCACTGCAGGCAGAGGCAGCGTAGCAAGCGATCAATACAGCCATTCAATGCCTAGAATCACCGAATATCCATGATCTGCTTCAGCAATAAAACGGTCGCGAGGAGCCCAAACGTTAATGGCTGGCGAGTCGCAGCTGACCAGCCGGGTGCAGCTTGGCCTGTATCTTCAGCCCACCTCCACGCACGCTGCACATGTGCCTTTACACTAGATGCGCCGCAACACGCTTTGACCCTCCCACCAATGCCTACCACCGTGACCACAACCTCTTGCCCTCACGCCTACCCCCAAGACTTGACCCAACAAATCCAAATCCAAATCCAAATCCAAATCCAAAAAATTGATGCACGCGCCGTTGAATGCAGGAATGGAAATGGCTCTCTCTCTCTCTCTCTCTCTCTCTCTCTCTCTCTCTCTCTCTCTCTCTCTCTCTCTCTCTCTCTCTGGTAGTTGTGCTTTTCCCTTTCTCTCTTTCTCAAACCGACCAAACCAATTCATTTCTCTCAAACTCTCTCAAACTCTTCATCTTTTAATCTCTCCACTCTCTCTCTCTCTTATGCCTGCCTTTCTCTCTCTGCATCTCTCTGCATCAACCAATTTATCTCAAACTCGCTCTCTCTCTCTCTGAGACAGTGTTCTTCTCTATCTCGGCTCTCTACCTGTGCTGCCCGGTTGACTGAAAGAGGCAATTGAGGGCATTGAGGGGCATTGGAGGCGATGGCTGGTCAGTGGCATCGAACCCAAAGTCTGATTGGGTGTCTCAAACATGACCTCACTCACGATTTGGTGGTGCGTGCCCCAGGTCAGGCGCCAGGCCTGCACTTGCAGGTGCATGGAAAAGACCATCTGGCTGCCTACCTTGAATATCGCGCCGTTGTAGGGCCAGAGGCCGATCGCCCAGACCATGTCATGCTCTCACCGGAAGAGTTTGAACGGCGGCGCAACGAGGTGCGCCGCTGAACACCGCCTGTCGACGGCTGTCCGGCTGTCTCGCAAACACCGCTCATAACCACCCCAGGCCGTCCGTGCCGGTCGCCTGGCCCCTCGTGCGTCCGCCCCGGCAGCAACGCAGCGCATGACAGAAGAAGAAGAGATGGCCTTTTATGAACAGCGATACCAGCAAAGGCGCCGTCTGGAGCGTCTCGCAGGCCGTGATGGGCAAGTCAGGGCGCATCCGACACTGGCTGAGTCGCGCGTGATACACAGACATAGCCATTCAACTTACTCGAGGTTGTGCCTCATGCTTGTCTCTAGCTCTGCGCGCCCGGCCGCCGTCGTAGCGGGCGGCCTTCCTCGCGAAGTTCAAGACGCTTTTCTCCGACTTGAGGCTCTTGAGCACAGTGGCCCCCAGCCCCGGCTCGAGGCGGCCCCACGCCAGGCATCGCGCGGCCGTGGGTTTCCACGTACGCGCCCCGGTCGTGGGAATACCGCGCCCCAGTCCAAATCTAATCCCGCACCCCATCAAAAGGCTCGAGACGCGGTTGGCAGCGCTCGTCCTGCCGTGGCGCAGGGCCGCGGCACCGGCACCGGAAATTCGCGGCGCTCAAAACCCAGCCCAACCACCTCGACGCGGCCGCCGTGGGTCAGCTGAGCTGACTGGCACCATGCGCATCTGTTCCTGAAGCCTCGGTTTTTATGCTTTTTTTTTTTTACCTTTGCATGGGTTTGGCAATGTGCGGTTGATTTTCTCAGAGTGAGAAGAACTTGTATTGAGTGACATGATACATCATTGATTGACTTGACCTCGTCCTCTTTCTGCCCTTGGGCCTTTTTTTGTGCACAGCAAACACACTCACACGTACACGCACACGTACACACACACACACACATGTACACGCACACATACACACGTACACGCACACGCTGTAGTACAACAAGTGTCACTACTGCGAAGCTGACTACATCGAGTCAGCGACGCCCCCAGCTGTCAGAAGGTAGGTGGCGTCCTTCTCACACGAGTTGCAGCTTTGGACAATCTTGGCCACGCGCTGGTCGCCACTGCCCTTGCGTAGTGCAATTCGCACGTGCACAGCGTGCGCCAAGATGTGCCCGCCGACAGGCTTCTTGGGGTCGGGCACAAAGCTCATGGTGTTGCCAGGGTCCGACTGCATCTGGTTCGTGACAATGACCGCCACGTTGTGACTTTCAGCCAACCGCTTGATGTTGGTCAGGACCTGATTCAGCTGCTGCTGGCGCTCAGATAGCTCGCCACGACCAATGTAGTCGCATCGGAAGGTAGCCATGATACTGTCAATGACAACCAGCCGCACATACCGGTCCTCAGCCAGCAATGCTGCCAGATGCTCAATTGTGCGAGCCTAAGTAGGAACAAGCAGGCATGAGCGCCCATAAGTGTCTGCAGCTGTACTGCCCCAGGGCTATAGCATGCCCCTAGAGCGTATCGCGACTTTGGGGTCGTGCCTTACCAGTTGATCGGAATTGTAAACGCGCGCGTAGACGATGTTGTCCAGTGCGTCGCGGTATTCGACGTTGTAGCGTTCGGCGATTGCCTCCAAGCGTTCGGGGCGAAACGACCCCTCGGTGTCGATGTAGACCACCTTGCCACCCTTGTAGCGCCCATCCTCGCTGGGCAGTTGTGCCGTAATGGCCTGGTTCATTGGGCATGTGTGCGCCGAATGAGGGCGCTGACCAGTTTGAGCAAGGCACAAGGGTCACGAGGTACAATTGCGTGTATCACGTTGATGCATCTCAACTCGACATACCGCTGTCATACACAACTGCGTCTTGCCGGTGCGGTATTCACCATGCAGCTCTGTGATGGTACGTGACTCCCACCCGCCGCAAAGGGAATCAAACTCCTTGGAGCCGGACGTGATGTGAAAGATGGCCGACTGACGCTCGTCTAGCAGCGAGCTGGCTGTTTTGAACGCATTGACCACTCCCAGCAGCTTGTTGCAGCTGTCCAGCACCTGTGAATGCAGCAACCACGATCAGAATCATGTGCGTCCCTGCAGATGCGACCCAGGCAGACTGGCCCTAGGGCGCCTACCTTTTCGGCCTTGCTTTCGGAGAACCCTTTGATGTCCTTCAAGTACTTGGGATGGCGAGAGAGCACGTGTTGGACTGTATGGTAGCCTGCCGCTTTGAGCTTGCTGATATCCGGCATCCTAGCACAGAGCCGGCCCATGCATCAAGCAGCTGTGGTGAACAATTAATCAAGGGTCACCTTCATCAGCCGTCCCAGCCCGCGATCGCCACTCAATGCGAAGGGGGTGGCAGGCATTGATGACAAAAAATGCAGAGGCTTGTGGGCGCTGCATCAATCGGGCCCAGCGCCCGCGCAATGCAACTATGGCGGCAAAGTTGATGCGCTCGTCGTCGTAGGAAAATGCATTTTCCCACTACTACTCGTATGTCTTACCCGAGGCCAGTACTTTGCAGTTCCTCAATCAAGTTGAATGTCGCCTCCTCCTCGTCCGCGTCCAGGGCAGCGGCTGCCACGTCTGGGACTTCGCGTTCCATCTCGGCTGCCATGATGGCACTTCTTGCAATTTCGCCTGAATATTCAGTAATTTTTGACTAATTTCTCAGTGTTTGACTAAGCGAGAACAATGGCACCATGCAAAGCGACTGTGAACCCGGCAAAGATAAATGCCGCTTTCTCCTTGGAGTCGTTGACCAGAAGCAGGGGCCTAAGAGCATGCACCTTGTTATTAGCATTGACTAACCCACATGAACATAGGAACCGTAGAGAGAGAGAGAGAGAGAGAGAGAGAGAGAGAGAGAGAGAGAGAGGGAGAGAGAGAGAGAGAGAGAGAGAGAGAGAGAGAGAGCATGTTACAAAAAAAACATACATCTGATGTAATATTCAAAACAAAACAAAACAAAACAAAATAAACAACAACATAGGGGAGGAAGGATGGTAACACGTCAGCACGTTGAGCATTCGAATTGTCGACAAAGTGATAATTTTCCCGCCAAAACAAACATGGCGCATTTGTTGCATGGTCTCTGTGGCTTCAAACTCTGGCCGAACCCAAGGCAGAGGATGGCCGGCATGGAAGCGACCGAACGGGCGCGCCAGTTGCAAACGCAACTCAGCGATTGCGATGGCAGCCAAATGAACGAGATAATTCACGCGATCTCACCTGAGCTGCTTGCTACTTGGGTACAAGAGCTTGAGGAGGAGCAGCAGCTGGAGACCGCGCGCGCATTGTGGAACGCGTCCTTGCGCCATGGAGCCATGCCCACCTCAACGACCGGTAATCGCAACCCTTATATCGTCTCTTCGCTCGGTGTGTCTGCGTTCACGTGCTCTACTCCTCACTGACCACATCTTGTATTGGGTTTCTGTCGTTATTGCGACGACACAGCCAAGGCGTGGTCTGCGCGACTGGCCTTTGGCGCAGGGGTGGATGCATGCAACCATCGTCGGCTACGCCAACAGCTGGTCATGGCAACGGGGGCGGCAGAGGCCAGCAGCGAGCCCATGCTGTATTTAGATCTTGGTGACAAGGCGGCGCGTGCTTTGCAAGCTGACCTGCAGGAGGCTGACCTGCTGCCCTACGTGGCCTATTGGTGCTGCTGTGTGCGGCTACAGGTAGCCCAGAACAATATGAGCGCAGCACGCCAGGCCTTGGCCCATGTGCAGGGCTTGCGTACGGCACGCGAAGATGTCCCTGCATTGGCGGTACGTTTGCCTGCCTGCCTGGTGCACCATCTCCTTGGCACCAAGACACCGTCCTCATGTTGGCATTGGTCCGCATGTGCCATTCGCTTTTTGTGGTGGCCCCTTTCCTGTACACCTTTTGACTGAAGCGCAAGCTGCTTTGGCGCACGCCATTTGATGTGGGCGTAAAACTGCTGCAAGACAACCATGTCGAGGAGGCAACAGAATGGCTGCAGTAAGACTCGTTCCACATGCAGTGCCCTGCAACTTTGAGCAGCGTGCTGACAGCGTGTTGCATGCCTCACAGGGTGGCACTGGAGGCCGACGAGCGACGCGAATTGGGAGATCATGCCTTTCGCACGTTGGCATTTGCATCGTTGGCAGCCCAGCGCCCACGCGAGGCGCGAGAGTATGCAGAACAGGCTGTACAAATTTGCGCGTCGGCCATCAACACCTGTCTGCTGCTTGAAGTTCTTTTGGCCATCCAGGCCCCAGCTTCAGCCATTACCTCACGTACGTCCCTTTCACCAAGCCCGCTCTACCCGCCTTTGACCTCACCCCCCTTCCAAAAAAAAAAAAAAAAAAAAAAAAAAAAAAAAGAGACGCATCTCAAAGTCACAAAAAAAAAAAAAAAAAAGGAACACGGCGACGCATCACACGAGGTGCAGCCATGCTTTCATCCATTTGTGCCTAATGACCTGCACCTACAAACATGGATAGAAGTAGACATGCTGGCACAGGCCCCTGACAGTCAGGTCAAGGTGTGGATACGTGCTGCTGTAGTACTTGGGGCTTCGCTGCAGGCCAGGCCACAAGAACAGGACGTGGCAGAGGCTGCCCTTCAGGGGTTGCGAAAGCTCCTGTCCTCGCTCCCCATTGAAGATCTTTGGACAGTGGTGTCGGAGAGCATGTCAGCGTTTGCAACCCACCCTACAGCCTGTGCCATGGCTATACGTATTGGATTAGACCGTATGTTGGCAACCGACCAGGCTTTGTGTCTGTACCCGCTGCTCTTGTACTGCTATTGACACCACCACGATGCACCGGGTTCTTTTCCAGGGGTGCCTCACGTTCTGCAGCACCGCGAGGCCGTTGCAAGCGCCTTCCACACGCTGATGCGCCACGCATTGCAATGGGAGGCCGTCAGTAGAGCAATACGTTGCTGCGTTTGTTGGGGTCACCTTCAATCGTGCTCACATGGTCCCCGCTTCGACGACAGGCGGAACAATTTCATGATGCCCATGCGCAGTTTCTCCTGTGCCATGAACTGGCCCAGGAAGGCGTCATCAGCGGCGAACAGAAGCAGGCCATTCAGGTAGGTTCAAACTGTTTTTGGTCAGGGTGTTGCGTTCATGGCTCTGTTGGCGCTCGGCTCATGTTGGAGAACCCACTTGGCCCTTCTAGACCAATTTGGCTTGGTGTGCTTGGCATATGGGTCAGAATGACGAGGCTACCGCCTTGGCGCAGCCGTGGAGTCGACAGTCATGTCGTGCGGCGTGCATCGTGCTTCTGCACCATCTGGCCGAGTCCACCGACGACCAGCTGGCGCCAGCAAGAACTGCAGATGTAGAGGCGCTAGTGCATACCATGGCAACGGTAGACGCAACACCTCAAGAGCGGTTTGGAGCCTGGCATGTCGTGCTTGGGGCAGCCTTTCAAAAACGCCAACGCCACCTGGCCTGTCTCATCCTACAGGTACCGGCGTGAAGTCATACACATGTCCGGGATATGCTTTCAGAGGCACGACATTTGTACCACCAGGCATTGCAAGGCTCACATACAACTCGTCAGCATCTTGTGCAGGAGAATTTTCCCGACAAGTTGGTCGTGGTGCGGTGCTACGTCAATCTGCTGGCAGATCTTACGTTGACAAGCAAGAGGTCAGTCGAACTGCACAACATTGAACATGAGGGGTCAATCCTCGTCGCCAGAGAGAACACGGAAAAGATGCGAAACAAATTCACACGAGCCTTAGACACTCTCATATTTGGCCTCCCTGCTGTCCAGTGAAGAGCTGGCTTCAAGTCAGCGGGACGGTGACTTGCTACGCATCTTGGGTCTTGGTTGGTATGCAGCAGCATTAGGTGCAGGCACTTGCTTGCACTCGACAGTGCCTCAATTTTCGGGCTCATGTGTGTGACGCAGCTTTCGATGAATTGCACGCCACGCCATTGGGCGTGGCACGTGATCAGGAAGCAGCTTGGTTTGGGCGCACAGGTATCATGTACGGAAGGCACAGTGTTGCATTAGAAGCACAAATGGCCTAACTCGGAAATGTATGCTGATTGTGTTGGGCAGCTTGGAATCTGGCAGTGACAGCACTACGTCATGAGGCTGCTGGCTTAGCCTCGGCATACTTTGGCGTTGCCGCACGGGTGGGAGCAATCTTATCTATGTCTGCGCCGGGCCATGGAGGGGGGATATTGGGAAGGGGAAGGTGACAGAGAGTAGGCTCACATTACCGGTCTCTTGTTTGTTGAAACGTTCTTCTGCTTATTGCAGATCAGCAGTATCAGTTCTGAGGCTGTGGAACAGCGGCGTGGCCGCCACGCCAAGCTGCTGGCCCTGAGCTGTTCCTTGTCTGGCGAGGCCAGAGAAGAAGACAAGGCCGCCCTGCGGAGCCTACTCGCCCAAGAATCTGTGGAGTCATGCCTTGCAGATGAAGAGCCGATGATGCTTGGTGTTCACTTGCTCCTCCTGCTGGAAGCACGGCTGGTGCTTCAGGAACCCCTTGAACCCGTGGGTGATGTGATTTAAAAAGCCATTTTTTGGTTGCCTACCTCGCTTGGGCCCTTGCACATTCTACCCTACCCTCATAGGTGGTTGTGACTGGGCCACACCATCAATGCGTACCTTTTCGATCGTACAGGCCCTGGAGACCCTGGCATCAAGCTCAGATCGATTGCAACTGTTGGAATTGGCGTGTGGTTCGAACGCGCTGGCACTTGCACCCGATTACGTAGACTGATCATTTTCATGTCTGCTGACCCTGCATGGCCTGCTTTGACCAGGCTTGGCAGAAAAGCATGGGCGGCAGCGCGCTGTGTTCGAGCTGGCCCAAAAGGGGCTAGCCTGGGCTGTACCATCCAATCGCGAGGCAACGCTGTCCGAAGGCCAAAAAGCTCTGTATGTTTGTCGTGCATTCCCAATGTGTCAATGTGAGGAGGCTTGTGCACTGCGCATGTGTTCGCTTTGTTTGCTTTGCGCCAACTCACACAAAACCCCTTTTCTGGGCTTTGTGAGCCCCATAGTTTTTTTGCACACCTTGTGCTACAGCATGGGCCAGTGCGGGAAAGGCTCCAGCTCGAGGGTTGCCTCCACCAAGTACACACACTCTTGCGCCAATCGCCGGCGCTGCGCTCGGCCTGCACCGAGTCCCAGGTTCTTTGGTTTGTGGTCAAGGTACGTTGCACCAGCCAGGCGCAGTCCTTGACTTGGGGGCTTCAGCATCCATTAGTCAAAATGTGCGACCGTGCCATCCCGTTTATTTAGGCCTGGAATCTTGGAATCGAGATGCACGCCAACGCATTGCCCCGAGGACAAGATCTGTGCAACCTGGCCATGGTCATGCTACCTCTCCTCTCCGCTACTTGTCGTCCAGTCTTGGAGGAGCGCATGAAGCGAGATTTCGTCACGGTTGCCGCCGCCGCTGCCACCAGCACCTCGGCACCAACGCGCGCCAAGTGATGTGAAAGAGTCCGCTGTGCGAGCCTTTTGGCTGACGAATGCACATCCAGAGCATACGTAAGCCCTGCCGCAAAGTCGTGCTGACAATTAAAAAAAGTAAATATGAAAAGCTTAAAAAATGATCTCAAACTGATTCAGAATCGACTGGCGCGTAAGTTCAATTTGTGTTGGTGACAGGGTCACATAAGCAGACGACGAGCGTCATTGTTGTGGGCTTGACCACCCCGTGTGCGCGCGCTGCAGAGCCACAACAACAGCAGGTGTAAGGTTTCGCATAGGCAGGTTCTGCCCACACCCAAAACACTCGGCGTTTGTGATTTGGAAGTTGAGTCAAATTATCATCGAGGTCGGCTGGATCATCGCGACCTGGTCGTCATCATTGCGAGCTCCCCCTGCCCTTTTCGGCCTGCCATTCTTCAATTTTGACACACGACTGTGAGGACTCGTGCACATCCCCCTTGATCCAAGCGGTAGCTCTTGAAAAGCTGTGCCACCTGCAGACAGAATCGGCCGCCATGGGCCGTCTGAACGATGAGCGGAAATTCCGCTTCAAATCACATAACCGAGGTGCGTCAGCGGCGAATGCTATGCCGCATGCATACGGCGGGAAAATCGAGGAAGCGGGTCAGCCTTCTCTTGCGCGAGCTTCAGGGTTGGTCATGTGACAATGAATATCTTTTATGCCATCGCATCTCCGGTGCCGCAGTCCGAGCCAAGCAACAGTTCATGCTTGCTCAGCGCAAGGAGCGCGACCAAGCTCGTTTCTCTCAATGGACACAGCACCGCAACGTGCCACCTTCGCCTGTCGTTTGCTGTACGTCAATGGGCCTGTCCGCATGATCTGATGGTGTGGGCGGGCGGCTTGGTCCAATCCTCCCCCCACCCCCCCTGCTTGTGCCTGCTTTCCCATACCTCACACATACGTCATGCACTGCACCGACAGCCCCCGTCAGCAACAAGGAGAACATGTCGTTGGATCACATCACAGACCCGCGCAAGCGAAAGCTGCTATTGTGGCAAGCAGAGCGTCGCCGCCAACAACAGCACTCGGACGCCAAGAATTCAAACAAGAAGCCTTTTGTTGTGTCCTCCCGCCCACTGCAGTCCTTCAACTTCTCTGCAGCACCCAGTCTTGCGAGCATGACCAAGCCCTTTGCCTTTGGTGCTGCCAGCAACAGCCGCAGGACATCAGGAAATGACCAGCGTATGGGCGTGGGCGCGTTTAACACTGCCCCAGGTCCTTTTGTGTTTCAGGCCACGCAACCTACGGCGCCTCTGTTTCAGCACCAGCCCGTGATTGATGTTCAGCAGCCCTCCAAAGATGTCCCAGAGACACCCACAAGTGATGCTTTGCAGACCAAGGTTCAGATCGCCTCACCAGTGGCGCTCGCTGACCCTCTGATGGCCACCAGCACTCCCGCCTTGGCGCGCGGTGCAGCCAAGAGCCTGGCTTATGAGGCCAGCAATAGCCCTAATGCGCTCCTGGAGAAACTTGAGGACTGCTGCCTCGTCGGCCCCCGTGACACGGCTTCGCCCACGCGCCCCACGACCAGTGGCAGCCAACGACTGTCAAACACAACCATCACTTCAGATCTATCCGACCAAGAAGTGACAGCTGCCACCAGCGATGAGGTACGAACACCTACACTTCGCCTGCTCGTGTGTCTGCTCTTGTTGTCTTCTGCTTGATTGCATCCGTCGAGCCCTTGCAGTCCAGGCTGGGTCGACACTCAGCCCAACAGCTGGTGGGATGCCCCAAAAACTCACATTTATTTTGGTCGACAACCATAGACACCAGAGACAGCGAAGGGTCTGAGTTATCAAAGCATTGAATTTTTCGAGTCTCAGCTGCAATGTCAACTGCGCTACCTGGCTGAGCTCTGCAACAAGTGGGAAGCGATGACTCCCGAAGCCGATGCCGTCAACTCGGAGAGCGGTGATGAGATTCGTGCCACTATTGGGCAAGCACGTCTTTTGAGTCGCAAAAAGCTCTCCAAGTTTGAATCCCTCTGCCAGGACTGCCGCCAGGGGGGTCGCACGAAACTGAGTGATCTGGACGGGTATTGGGACGCGTGTGTCCAGCCTCAAGTTGAACAGCTGCAAAAGCGCTTTGAAAACTTGGACATGCTGAAGAACAATGCCTGGCAGCCGGCAGAGGATGAACCTGCCGCTCCCAAAAAGAAGCGCGTCAAGAAAACCAAGAGGTGCGTCGCGTTGTCTTTCCGATGTTTTTCCTATTATTTTCCTTTTCAAAAGCATAAGCACTTCTTTGCGCGATATGCGCCTTTGGGATGATTGCTCCATTTCGATGTTGGAATCTGCTTTTGTGGCCGGGTGGTCCTCCGACGGGGGATGCAGGTTCTTTCTCGCTCAGCTTACCAAGGCACGTGTGCTTCTCAAATGCTCCAATTGGTTAACTTAGCACACGCAAGGCGTCGGCAGCTCAGGCACCGGCTCGCGTGTCACAGGCGCGTGCCTTTATTCAGCGCATGCGCGCCCGCCGCCAGCAGGACGATGCGTCAGACGCAGCTTCTGATATGGCCCAGCCAATGGCAGCGGCCAGCGCAACCAACGCGCCGGGCCCTTCAGGCAACTTTGGATCGACCACGGCTGAGGTTAACGGCTCAACTGTTGTGTTGACACCGATGCGCGCCAGTCGCAAAGAGCAGGAAGTGCTGGGTTCAGAGGTCGTGTTGACGCCCGTGCGTCGTTCCACACGCCAAACACCTTCCAAGTACCGACGTCCAGCACCAACAGCTGATGCTGACCCGGCCAATGTGGCATACAAGCCGAACCCAGCGGTAGCCAAGCTGATCGAGGTGGCCACCCCCCCACCTGCCATGCGCAGCCGTCGTGCCTCTGCCTTTGCAAACTCTGATTCCCTGCTCTCCCCACTCTTGGCCCCTGAAACCCCATTGGCCCAGACGGTGCGCATGTCCATGACGGCATCCGCCCAGCCTGCTTGCCAGTCACCTGCTTTGGGTGATGGGAACGTCAACGATCTGGATGCGCTTTTGATGGAATCACCGCTTCCCGCGGCTTCACGCAACGGCCAGGCAGACCTCATTGCTTTTACGCCAACGCGGTCTGTGGGTCGCGCGGCCCATCGCCGCTCGGCTCTTCAGCGCACCCCCTTTTCTGCTCGCAAGCGGATCGCACCCCAAGACAGGGACATGGACGAAGAGAATCAAGAGACAGGCAGCGTCATCCGCTTTGCTCGTACGACGCCTTCCCGCCGCGTGCGAGATGAACTAGGCACCGAAGTTGTTTTCACACCCGTGCGCCGCTCGGCTCGTATTGCTTCGACCAACGCCACACCTCTGGGCGGCTCTTCGCTGCGTACTGTGTTGAGCAGTCTGAGTGAGGTGCCCCCAACGCTTGATTTTGGCTACATGCCAAATGAATCGTTGAGTGTGCGCAAGTAGTGACGCGGCCACAGCAGGTTGCCACCCGAAGCTCACATCATGCCTGTCCTCAATCGGCTCGCCGTTTTGAATTCTGAATCTTGTACATTAGTCAATCTCAACTGTGGTCTTATCTTGGTCCCTTCCATGATCAAGCAAGCCTATCATTTTGTGGATTGAGATGATTTTCATCCTGGAGAAATTTCTGCGTCTGTGCACACTAGTTAAATGTACCGTCTTGTGCCGTGGGTGTTATTGGTTATTTGAGAGAGTTCGCACAAGAAATTGACGCGCCCGACTTTGATCTCAGCTGCATGATTGTTCATCATAAGCCGTTGTGGGTGTTCAGAAGTGGGATCAACGTGCATGCCCAAGTTTTCGAGATGATGCAAAGGTGCGTCTGCAGTTGACGTGAGAGGATGGGAAATGCCTTTCAAATTGACAAGACAGAGGAGGAGCACAGCAACAAGCTGTAGCTGCACACAAAACACATATCTAACGACTTTGATGAATGACCTACTGGCCGTTCACGGCGGCCAGTGAGGCAAGCATGTGCTGGTATCCAGGACCAGAGCTGATTTCTCGCGAGGACAACGGGGCAGTGTTGGGGTTGCGCTTGAGCATGTTGATCACCTGCCAAACAAGTTGATCGTGCCACGCGAATGGGATGAGAAAGGTCGCAAAGCCTTCGGACAATTTGCCATATTCCTCACCTGCTTCAGCTTGCTCGCCCAGACAGCGGCTTCTTGTGGAGTGTCACAGAACATGCGGTATACACGGTCGCCAGCAACCACCTGCGCCGAAGGTGCGATCATGTTGCATAATCCTTGAGCATAATCACTGGCTGTTGGCTTGAGCTCAGCACTGACGTGCGAGAGATCAAGCGCATAGCGTGAGCATGGGGGCGGAGGAATGACTTACCGCAAAGCGCTGTTGTTCAGAGGCGGTTGCTGGTGCACCTTCTTCTTTGCCCCAGTTACAAGCACCTGGTGTGTGTAGTTCGGTATTGGCCTTGATATCAATCACACCTTTGGGCTCGGTGAGAGATCCTGAAGAATGCAAACGTGAAGGAGCATGAACATGAGAGTGCGACACCCGGCGAGGCACGTGGACAAAGCAACGTGTTCTGGATCAAACCTTCTTTGGCATACGTAAGTGAACCATCGACACGCAGAATAAACCAGCGACGCTGCCAGGACTTGACCTAGAGATGGGAATTGGCAGGCGAGGATCCAGTTTAGCAAAGGTCACAAACTTTCCTTGAAATGCCCAAGTCTTGCCGGATGAAGTCACGTACCTTGCCTCCCTGCTTGGTCGCATAACCTTGGTGCACGACGATGGGCAGGGCTGATTGCCGAATGTCGTCCGAAATGTTTTCCCGTGAAGGGCGAGGCGGAATCTTGCTCTTGGCCGCAGAAGGCCCGTGCGCTTTTGAGACTGGTCGCCTAGACCAAGACGGTACAGAACAGCATCAAGTAGGGTGTGTGAGGTCAGCCAGCAGGTAAGGCGGCTGCAGCACCGGAACAAAAGTAGTGATGGCGGTGGTAGCACAGGGCTAGTCCTCAATAACCCACGTATTGGAGCCGGGCACGTGGGGGGCTGGACGATTCGCTTTGGGCTGGCCTCCAGGTACACCTGGTGCAGGGCGATTGGCGCGGGGCTGCTGGTTGGGCACACCCGGGGCGGGTCGATTGGCTCGGGGCGGAGCCGCTCGTTGTTCATCAGGTACGGGCGCGAGGTTCAAAACTCGGGCTGGCCGTGCTGGCACCGGCTGCAGCGTGGGACGCCATGGGGGCAAATGGCATTTCGTGAGTTGAGTCGTGCTTTCATGGGCCCTTTGCGATAAGAGTGGCAGCCGACGTACATCACCAAAGGGATTGGCGGCCGAGGCAGGGGCGGCGGCGCTGGCGCCGCTCGATCTGGCAGCTAGTAGCAATGAGTAAGACGTGAATGAGATTGAGATCAAATTCAACATTCAATCTGGATGTGCCCGGGCGGTTGGAAAAGCAGGCAAGGAACGTACCCAGGACTTTGTTGAGAACTTCACGGAGCTTGAGCATGGTGGCACCGGGCAGGGTGCATATGCGCATAATGTCCTAAAGCACAGAGCACACGTCCGATTGAGCTCTGGAGAGCACGGTGTCTTGCGGAGACCCGCCTGTTCATTTGACATTGTTGCAATGCACACAAGCAAAAACATTCAGGGGCTGTGCGACACAAACCTGGTCCGACTTTTGAGCCAGATCAAAAACGGTGCGAATGCCGGCGGCCTGAAGATTGGGCCAGCGATCTTGAATGCGAAACGCTTGGGGATGAAGAAGGGGGGGGGGGGGGGGGGGAAGGAAGGATTGGATTGGGAGCAGCAGGGGAAGATGATGAGCAACACGATAGGAACCGGGGATGGAGAAGAGCAGAGTTCAAGAGTGTGCACACGACGAGGCGTCGCGCGCGTGCCTACCATTGAGCAGCTTTTGCATCCGAGCATCGGGAGCTAAAGAAAGAGGAGCAACAAGATGTGGATGCGAGGCGTGGATGTGAGGTGTGCGCACCATCTGTGCGTGTTCGAATAGCGTGTGAACATTGGGCCTGCATGATAAGACCTGCCATCGCGCAGGTGAAGACGAAGGAAGTATTCTAGCACGCGAGGTAATCCGAGCTGCCAAAAAATGTGAGCAAGGTGAGCAAGAGTGTGTCAGGATGCACCAACAGCTACACCATATACCACTGGTAGTACCTTTCCTGCCGACGTCTCAAGCGTTTCCAACAGGCACCAAGCCGTGGCGCTTCACATCAATCCAACGCCTTGTCAAGCATGCACTTGCCACTGCGCGGTCCCCGACCAGCACACACACACACACACACAGAGATCACTCTCTCTCTCTCTCTCTTTTGCGCGTGAGGATGAGAGAGAGTAAAAGACAAAACAAGTCTATCTCACACACACACACACACACACACACACACACACACACACACACACACACACACACACACACACACACACACACACACACACACACACACACACACACACACACACACACACACACACAACAACAACAAAGTGCTTTTTTTATTGTTGCTCTTGTTCTTGCTTTGACGTGTGTGGGGAGGTCAAGCTTGATTGAGGTGTGTATGTGTGTGTGTGGGTGAGGGGGGTGATACTCACTGGATATTTTCTATTTGAGAGGGCTGGCCGTGGCAAATACGGGGAAGCTCGGTCTGAGAGATAGAAAGGGTGGTATGTGTTGCTCTACGGTGTGTGCGGAAGGCACATCTTTCCAGTTGTCACTTTTCTCAGGTGGCTCGTTCACAAATGTCGTTGTATCGTCAAGGAATCTATTGTCAACGCGTGTGGCATGTCACCGACTACTCGAGCTGGGCAAAGGCTTCAGTCCAATAGTAGCGGTGGGGCACGCCCTTGCCAGCAGCGGCAATGGCCTCAATCTCCTTCTGGTCCAGGGTGAAAGACAGGCAGTTGAGGGTCTTGGCCAAACGTTCTGGACGAGAGGAGGTGGTGACGACACCGAGGCCACGGCTCAAGTTCCAGCTACAAGCAGCCCACATACATCATATTAGAAGAAAACCTCGAGACCGCTATTGCATCACAAAGAGTGTGGCGCTTCAAGCCCACATATGCTCCATCTACACGTACTTGAGGAGTGTTTCGGCGGTGGTCTTGTCGTGAGCCTTGGCAATGTCCTCTGCAGTCTTGAGAATGTCCTTGCACTCATCCTTGCTGGCCAGGGGCTTAAGGCTGGAGTAGGCAGTCACCACGATTTCGTGGCTGCGGCAGTACTCTTCCAGCTCGGGTTGGTAGAGCTGGGGATGCACCTCAATTTGGTTGACGGCGGGTGGAATACGAGCCGTGGCCAGGAGTGACTCCAAGTGCTGCACAGCAAAGTTGCTCACACCAATGGAGCGGATCTTGCCAGCATCCACCAGGCTATCGGTGTACGAAATGACGGGGTGAGCCAGGCCATACAGGGCAGGGCGAGAGACGCACGGGGCATCCAAGGCACTCGGGTTGCAGCGGGGACCGGCAGAGCACGTACGCTTCCATAGCCTTCCAGACTTCTGCGACCGACTTGGTGACGCCGGCCTTATCGAGGAAGGGGGCGTGAAGGAGGTACAGGTCGAGGTAGTCTGTGCCAAAGTGGTCCAGCGTCGTCTGAACGGCCTTCTCGACATCACCGGCACTGACAAAGACCTTGCTCGTGATGAAAAAGTCACTGCGCTGCTTTGAGCTCTTCTTCAGGTAGTCCTGGAAAGCCGGGCCGGAGAACACCTCGGTCTTGTACATTTCAGCTGAGTCGATGTGGGTAACGCCAGCGTCCAGCGCGGCGTGGAGGCTGTCGGCAAGTGTGGCCTCCTCGTTGGCGTTGCTTACACCCTGGTCGTTGCTGCGTCAAGGCGATTGCGAGGGACATGAGAGGGATGCAGCAGGCATCGACAAGTCGAGCATGACAATGCGTCCAAGACTCCTACGGCACCACGGGCAGGGAAGCAGACCTGAACCACTGGGTACCGGTGCCAAAGGCCACAACAGGCATTGTCTGGCCCGAGCTCAGCTTGACGGCAGCGTTGATCGACATGGTGCTGGTATTGAAACAACGGCGGGCAATACTTCCTACTGCTCAGAGACAAGAGTAGACGATCACGATTGGGTCAACGGCGGTGTGCTTCTTCGAGCGTTGAGCTGGAGTAAAAAAATGCCACAACGAGTCAAACGGCGAGAGAGAGAGAGAGAGAGAGAGAGAGAGAGAGAGAGAGAGAGAGAGAGAGAGAGAGAGAGAGAGAGAGAGAGAGAGAGAGAGAGAGAGAGAGAGAGAGAGAGAGAGAGAGAGAGAGAGAGAGAGAGAGAGAGAGAGAGAGAGAGAGAGAGAGAGAGAGAGAGAGAGAGAGAGAGAGAGAGAGAGAGAGAGAGAGAGAGAGAGAGAGAGAGAGAGAGA